GCAAGCGGGTCGATATGACACACGGGGGTGGGGGCAGCCGGCGCTCAACCTACATCCACGTGGGCGGCCTTGTACGCAAGAGGTTCTGAACAGGGGGAGTTAGTTGTAAGTAAGAAGATAAAAAAACGAATTACTTTTTTCTTGTTTTCTTCTGCTTTTTTTCGCCTTTGCGCTCTGATATTCATGTGACGATATATACTCACCAAGAGAAACAGCGCAGGCTCGCAATGGGCAAACTCGGCACCGTACACGGTGCTCCCCCGAGACTGACATGGAAAAAAAAAGAGGCAGAAAGAACACCAAGGGAGAGACCGTACAACAGACCTTGTCTCGTTAGAAAAACAGCGCAATCACAGAACAGCATGGCGCACATAAACTCAGCCTCGAAGATACAGAAGAGCTTAGGGGGGGTTACGAAAGCAGGAAGCCGGTCTCCAGGGAACAGGGGAGAGCAGGGTTTAGGGTTTAAGGAGAGCGGTAGCTATACGCGCCTCAGGATCCGGCTGCCTTCCTTGATGCCGAAGAGATGCCTCGCGTTCGACAGAATCGCAGTCGAACTGCCGGAGTTCGAGTCAACGAGGGACTGGTCGATAGATATATAGCGAGGACATATGTCGACTTCATTCTAGTGTAGAAACTAAATTCTAGTGTGGTTCCAGTTTTGGCGATCTGTAGCCTACTTTCTAGTGTGGTTCCATTTGGTGTTTGTCCAGTTTCTAGTTTCCAGTTTCTCTTCCTTTTGCGAATTGCAGCCTACCTTTCTAGTGTGGTTCCATTACTTGGCTGCAATTCGCAAAAGGATAAGTCGGCTGCGAGATCGAAGCATGGGACACTGGATTACTCCAGGTTGAGTGAGATGTGGAGGGAGTCCCGGCCTCCTTTTGCTCTTATATTATAATAATAAAATAAAAGCTCGAATTCTGGTCAAAAAAAAAAAAAAAAGAAACAGGGCGTGCTGGCCATCTACTGGTTCGGTTTGCCAATTTGTTTTCCAAAAAATTTCACAGAGGAAAAACTCCCCAAAAAAATTCACAGAGGAAAAACGTTTTTCCAAATTGCAACTTCGCAGCTTCTTGTGAAAGATTCATTCTCATGTTTTGCAAATTTGGCGAGAGGTGCAGCAGCAAGAAGGCTCATTCATACTCACACCGGGACTTTTTCAACTTGCCTGCGGTCGGAATTCCGGTCAGGTGCATCCTCGTAAATAAAATTCAGAAGGATTTTTGTTCTGTGTTAGACTGATTGCTAGATCACCTTTTTTCTTTCTTTTACCGTCAGCGTTTTGTATGAAAATCATCGAATCTTGTTTTGGATTGTGTGAAATGACCCAGTACTCCGAACTTTTCCCCAAAAAACGGTCATCTACCAATCAGTTTTGGAATGGTTAATCACCGTTTTTTCCAAAACTGATTGCTAGATTACCTTTTTTTTGGAAAAGTTCGGAGTTCTGATCATCGTTTTTTCCAAAACTGATTGCTAGATGACCTTTTTTGGGGGGAAAAGTTCGGAGTTCTGATCATCGTTTTTTCCAAAACTGATTGCTAAATGGACCGTTTTTTCCAAAAAGTTCGGAGTTCTGATCATCGATTTTTCTAAAACTGATTGCTAGATGACCGTTTTTTCCCCCCGAAAAGTTTCGGAGTTCTGATCGCCGTTTTTTCCAAAACTGATTGCTAGATGATCGTTTTTTTGGGGAAAAGTTCGGAGTTCTGATCGCCGTTTTTTCCAAAACTGAGTGCTAGATGACCGTTTTTTTCCCCCCGAAAAGTTCGGAGTTCTGATCGCCGTTTTTTTCCAAAACTGATTGCTAGATG